CAAGTATAACAGAACAAGGCTCTCTATCCTCTACAACAGTGACTACCCTGTGGCATTTATGTGCAAAATCTCATCCACCACGACAGATTCTTTCTGTATTAAATTATTGCTCAGATTTTGAAAATTAAATAGCGATACAGAGCAAAAATTAAATCTCATTTAATAAAAAATTTAAAGTGTTGGTTTATATGTGTCTACAATTTACTTGTGTCTAGGATTTTTTTGGTTTTTAGTGTCTTCTTGTCTTCCTGTTTCATAGCACTTTTCTTCTCAGAGAGAAGGACCATACATGTTTTTCTTGGCTAGCTGGCAATCATATTAATTCCAGAAAAATTAATTTCCTTCAATTAATCATAGCAGAGATTCCCAGGGCAAAATACAGCATGAATGATTCCATATTTACAAGTGAATGGGCATGTCACCCATGTCTAAAAGAACAAATATTAGAAAAGGACAGTTTTTGTTCTGAAAAATTCCCTTCTTTAACTTAGATCTTCTATATTTATTAAACATGACTAATCACTGATGCTTTCAGTCATTATGTTTCAGATATTAAATATTTGCTATGTATAAATAAAACTATGATAGTTTTAGTGAGGACTTAGACTTTGATTTCAAGTTTGACAGTAGTTCCTAGGATAGAAATTAGAAAAATGTCAATTTGCCTGTATTTAGAGAAAATTTTTACCTCTTAGATTAGCACATAGTTAAAAACAGGAATGGATGTTAACCAAAACTCATTTGGTTTCTCTGATTTACAAAGCAGCATTTTGACTGATGATAGTTTAGAGTGTCTCCAGTTTTGCCTTTTCCTCAGAAAATCTCTAAAGATGCCCTTATAGACCAGAAATACCTTTTGATCTTTTATGCTTAATAAATAAACTACTGAAAAGCTCTTGGCACCTCCTAAAAACCACACACAGACAGAAGACATCCTGTCTGATGACGACTGTCTTGGCAGACACCTTGTCACTCTTCAGGAGATGCACTTGATCCATTTGCCACTCCTGTTTCATTCCAGCTGGTTTTCAGCTCTGAAATCCAGAGGTTTCAGTCCCATTTTCATTTTTTATTTTGTAATTTGACTATGTAAAGCAGCAAGGTGAACCTGTTGAGGCTGGAGGAACTCATGTGCCTTTTTATTTGCCACAGATATCACGTTTCTTGCTCTTCCTCCAACTTCTGCCAGTAAGCAGGAAGGAAGCCAGTAGGCTTATGTCTGATCTGGATAAAGTAGAAGTGATACTGATTAATGAGAAAATATTTCTAGGATTAGATGAAGTATATAACCTAACCTTCAAATGAGGATCATCTGAATCCTAATTAAGACTCTCTGAGTTCTCCCAGGGGAACAGATAACACCTGTCATAAATATAGTTCTTGAAGGGAACAGGCTGAATACTCTGAGTTGGGTACGTCCTTCATCTCAAACCAATCTTCAGAGAGATTTTTCTGAGATTTCTTTAAGATTCTGAGCTTTTCCTGAGAAGCTGGTGTCATTGCCACACCCCTCAGTCACCTTGCTCAACAACTATCATTTTTCTTTTAATATTACCTTACCTAGGTGTGAGTGGGACAGATAGAGACAAGGGCTGGACACACTGGCTCCATATTTGACAAATATTTCTCTTCTTACTTAAGAGGTGTGGCAGGAAGGGAGATGGACTCTAGATCTATAGCCCACTCATCAGTCCAACAAATTCTTCCCCAGCTCTTTACAGCAAAACTTGTTCTATGCTTTAAAAAATGGCATGGTGTTAAGGAATCACTGAAAAGGAATCAAACTAAAGCAGATCTTAAAAGATTGGATTATGCACCATAAATGCTTTGCATTGTTTGTCTGATTTCCCCACCTCTAGACACAGAGATGATTTTCATTATGCTGTGGATTCATGTTCTGGACAGGAACCCTCTTTTTGTCCTCCCTGCACTCCCAGCACCCTTCTAATGGGTTCAATAACAGATAAATAAATGTTTTAGTTTATGCTCTCATTTTATTCTTAAGATGGGAAGATTTCTATTTCAGAATATCTCATTCTATAAACCAGATGATGGGCACTAAAAAGTTTGTAAATGAGATTCCTGAGATCTTTCTTTTGCCTAAAGAATTGCTGCCACTGCTGCTGTCTAGCAATATGTGAATTTTGCTGGAGATAAGATTACACAGTCAGAATACACAAGCTTTCAGAAAATAACTATTTAGAAACCATCTGTACACTCTATTTGAAACAGAAATCTCCTGTGCCTGAGCTGGTGACACAGAGAGAGGGTATAACTGGATGCTAGTTTTCCTTCCTTGCCTGTACACATCAGGCATGTTGGCATTAGCCCCATCTTCAGGCCACAAAAGAGAGAAACTCATTGCTAACTAGCTGATAAAACTCATGCTTTGCACCTACTAGCAGGCTGGGAAAACAATATAAAGGCTTTCTCAAGCATACATACCTAATTAGCCTGTTTTACATCCAGAAAGATAAACAGTAACTCACAAAAAGTCCCCAGCCATCCTTAAACCCCATAAATGTAAAGTCCTCTTGCAGAATGAGTCAGGAGTTCTTAAAGCATCACCTTAAGATATTTTATTACTAATATTTGGGTGCCCAGATGCAACTTTGTCAATGTGCAAACACATACCTTGAAATGCTACATTTAGGGAAACAGGAATGCTCTAGTCACTTTTATTTACAAAACTGAAAATCAGAGTATCTGTTTGAATGGAAGTGGTGCAGCAGTAAACTCTGAAGAGTTAAGAGTGGTCACAAGTTCACCTAGACAAATTTTGTAATAATAAAATCAGCAGGATAGGAAATAATTCTATAAATGAGTGAATATAAATATTAGTAATTTAAGAAAAATAAATTAAGCACCTGTGGGAAATTTTAATAGTTTTCTTCTAATTCCATTCTAGAGGTAATTACAGAAAAAGTTTCTACCCTGTGAATTTCTTTGAAACAACAGCACGATGAATAAAGCAACAAACCTCAAATTACCAATTGCAACCAGTTAAAACCAGCAGCCATGGTTATAATTTAGCTCTAACTAGACAAAATCATAAGCAACTTTTTATAACAGCATGACTGAAGCTGTATTATCTCACTTAACACTGTCATTAAAACTTGTGTTTTACATTTATTGGGTAGTATTATAAAGTAATTTATTTACTGGATTCTGGCAACACTTTTTTCCTCTATACTTCATAACTCTAGAGCTTGGTCTTTCCATACAATCATCTCCTTTCCCTTAGATCTAATGGCAACCATCACTTTTATTTTGCCTGAAACCAGTCACAAGCTACCTCATGGTAAATATAAATCAATATTAACAACCAAAAATTACTAGCTTCACTATAAAAGCTAAAAAAGTTAAACCTAGGTAACTAGTTTCCTCAAAAATGCCAAGATCAAATGTTTCTCTTAGAGTTATTAAGCCAATAAATTTCATTTTATTGCTTCATAAATTCTCACTGAAGTGGGATGGGAGCACAGTTGAGCTACCTCACCATAGAACAAGAGAGCTGAGTTAGAAACCTTATTCCAGGATTCTGGTGAAGACTTCTTTCCATCTGATAAGTAGTAACTGCCTCGAGTTCCCAAGTGGGGAATGAAGTGTGGCCTGAAATGTATCAGCCTTGCTTAGATTATTTATGTCTTGGGTAGATCTTTGATCAGGGGTTTATTAAAACAGCACTAAACTGGTGGTATAGTGCTGCTAATTGATAGAATAGCTCTATCAGTTAGAATAGGTAGAAATGGTTTCACTGAGAAGTCTTTCCACAAGGCAGAGGTAAATCAGACACAAAAAGCTTTGACTTTCATTATTTGAAGACCCTATGATACCTAAAAATGATAGATTCATATTAATGAACACCAGGGACACACAACACCCTATTCTATAAAACCTCTGAGAGAATCAGATTTCAAAATGGCCAAATTACACACTGAAAAATTAGTTCAAAGAATTTAAATGGATTTTTAATATACTGGTTCTAGATTTCTTCCCCACTGACCACTACAAAAGAGCTCAGTGAAATTAGGAATACCTAGGATATATAAAGAAAAAAATACTTATTCTTTTCTGGAAGTTCCACACCTGTCATTTTTGGATGTCCATTTACCAATAATGCCAAGATGTCTTCTACTTGGTGTAGAAGCTCATCTGAGCATGTGGGATGTTGAACCTTGGTTAAGTCACAGGCACATGATCAGCTACTTAGGTCTGCTTGATGCTTTGAATCTACTGAGAGCATTTTTCTTGGCTTTTTTTGTTCATTTCTTTCTTGGCTGCTCCACTGACACACATTAATTAGCCCTCATTTATTTCCTAAGAAATCACACTGGATAGCAGCAGCAGTGAATTTAGCAGCTGATAACACAGATATCCAGAACATTCTTAGAACTTTTCAATAAGTCTGAATGTTCATTTGAAGTCCTTTGAACAAAGTTCTGATTCTAATAACCTTTGCCAAGGTCATAGTTTTGGGGAGAAAGAACAAGTATATTCTGCACTAAAAAAACCCATCTTTTTACTTAACTCATTCTGTATTGTGAACTCTTAACAGGCTATTAATTCTAACCACTCACCTAGATGACTGAGGAAAGCACCATGTCCTCCTATACAAGCACATCTATGACCAATATGTCACAGAGAGAATGACTTGAAGGACTGGCCAGGGATTTAAAGATCCACCCTCACTGTCATGTTACCATAAAATGCTTTAAATGATGGATTTCTGTTTCTTTTCTGGATCTGGATTTGCATACACCTCAGAGCTTGTAATAGCACTCCTACCTGCCAGCTTCATCTTGATTTTGAAGGTAGCAGTTGATTGTGTTGACTAAAAAGCTGAATAAACGACCATACAGAGATTTTGCCAAGAGGTCCCTGTAAAATCCTGCCATCCCCATGGTGTGCCTCCGTACAATCATGTCCCCTAAGAGAGAGAGAGCAGAGAGTGGAGATGAAAACATGTTGTAAAGCTCACCTTAAGCAATTTAATTACAGTAAATTTAATTACAGCTACTTCTCCCTTTGCCAAACCTCCACGTGGTGGATTTGTGGGGGTTTTTTTGCTTTTTTTTTTCTGAAGCCTCCAGTGAAAGGTGAGGAGGCTGTCAACATTTGCAAGATCTTATAGAATCATAGAATCCTTTAGGTTGGAAGAGGCCTCAAAGATCATCATGTCAAACCCTCAAGCCAACGCTGCTAAGTCCTCTGCCAAAACAGATCAGAATCTGTCAGGGCTGGAAGGGACCACAAGGATCCCCCAGTTCCAACCCCTCTGCCAGGAGCAGGGACACCTCCCACTAGATCAGGCTGCCCAGAGCCTCATGTATCTTTGTGCTTTTTCCAACAGAAAAGGGTGTGAGTTCTGGTGGAAGGTGCTCCTGCCCCTGGCAGGAGGGGTGGAACTAGGTCATCTTTAAGGCCCCTTCCAACTTTCCAACTTTCTTCCAACTCAAACCACTCTATGGTCCTGTGATCAGTACCACACAGAACTGGCATTTTACTGAAAAAGGGCTTTTTCAAAACTTTTCTTCTTCTTTTTTTTTCCCAAGACACTCCTGCTGACTTTAGTTCTTAGTCCTAATATCTAATCTGTTATCTTGACACACATTTTTAAAACTAATTGTTAGGAGTCCACCAGCATTAGAGTGTGAAGCTGCTTTGTTCCCTATCACAGAGACACTTCTCACTCCGTGGCCCAGCCTGACTTGCTGCCTGGCAAATAATCCTACATATCCCTCAGGGAGAAAATTCACAAGACCATACAAAAAATAAGAAACAACAATATGCCTGCTTCTAAAATTCCCAAATCAGAAGGATCCAAATGCCACTAGGTCTGACCTATGAGAATGTAAGCTTGGAAAAGATTACCTTTGAAATACTGAACATCAGTTGTTAAGGCTGAAGCAAGCTCATCTGGTGAAACCTGTAGCATCCCTGCCACTGAAATAAAAAGAGAATTTAAAGAAAGCCTGGTTTGCTCTCTGTTGCATATTTTATTCTTTACAACAGATTTTCTTATGTGGATGCTATTTTTGAACAGTAAAAGAACCCACACATTAAAGGCAAGAGTGCTGTCAGAGGAGTAATCAAAATTAATGAACACATAAAATCGGATTACTGTAATCAGCACTTTGTGAAGTTTGAACTTATTTGTATATTATATTACAGCTTTCTTTCCCCTTTAAAGATTACTCAGGACTTTCCCCAGGGCTTGGCAGACTTTCCAGGGCTTGGCAGACTGTGCTCTCCTATTAGAGTTAAGGTATGCTATTTATTGACATTCGGTATCCACAAGCCACTTTGAGGAGATTTGTTAGTGACCAAGAGGGCAAACTTCAAAGCCTGGAAACAGGAGTCCTTTTTAAGACATAGATTTTCAATGTAAGGAATTCAATTCAATGCAAATTGTTCGGATGTTGACGAGCAGCACAAGAGCATTTTAAAAGAAGACTTCATAAAGTGTGCAATTTTTTTTGGCAAATGATAGCATTCGATATGACATCAAATGAGACAATTTGCAATACGAGCATTCTGCTTCATCCCATAAAAGTCTGTAGCTTATAAAACAGCCCAGTCAATGGGATGCTCTTCCCACAGTAATTTATGAATTCTCAGAACATTTTTTTTGTCTTTTTGGGATGGTGTTTCCACCTGTGGGTGGCTCAGCAGCCCTGCCCTGCTGGGGGACCGAGCGGGCGATGCCCCAAGGTCGCGTCCTACTGACCTCGCTCCAGGAGCTGCAGGTCGGCCACCAAGGCTGTCTCAGCGTCTGTCAGGGCTGTGAAGCCAATGTCCCCGAGGTGCAGGATGGCCGAGAGGATCACAAACAGGTTCTCCACCTCCTGCACGTGTTTTATGGAGAATGAAACACAAAGAAGAGATCTGTCGGGCACACGGGTGAAGGGCAGCGCTTTATAAAAACACAACTTCTCTCCCTTCCTATCACTGGCTTTTGCTAAGTTAAAAAGTATTTGTGTGTGATCAGGAAACCTGGATTTAGCAACCAAACTGGAACCTATCTAGAATAAACCCAAAAGATTATCCTTTTTTTTTTTTATAATGGAAATCACATTAACTACTCACTTAAGAAAGTTTTTCAGCACGTGATAAAAAAATACTGAAGTGTATTTAATGGCTAGATCTTTAATGGATGTTTTATTTCTCCAAGAAATAAACACCTCTTCCCCATAGAGATTTTCCACCAAGATGATTTCTGGATCTGGGAATAGCAAGATTTGTTTCTTCTTCAGCCAACTGCAATCACAAATAAAGTGTCTGGCTCTACATTAGACCAGGTTCCTGGTAGTAAGAGCTGTAGTTAAGGGCTGACAGAAACAAAAGCAACCTCCCTGCTGCACACACTTTCCCCCACGACTGCACGTTATGTTCTGATGCCTGTGAGGCTCTGAAGCAGTCAGTTATCTTTAGGGCTAGATTTTTTTCCTGGCCTCATTTTTACCACAGCCAGAAGAGAACCAATTTTCTTGTTTCTTTATTTTTTTTTAATGTAAATTCAACCAAAAAATTGATCCGTGAAACATGAACCAAAAGTGCTAAGAGATGGGAAATGTGGGTTTGGAAGTTGGTGGGTTTTATTTTAAGGTCAGTTACATAACACTGGTGCTCCTTTAAAATTCTAAACCAGGGAACCTGATATCCACTACAGCATTACAGAGTATCATTATTATCAGTTGACTGATAATTCTTGAAATAGTTTTGAAAAATAATATTTGGAGCCTGATTCTACTGAAACAGGAGGAGTGAAATGGGAAGTCTCACTGAATTTGCAGAATAAGATTAAGAAATACACTAGAAGTGGAATTCTTGGCCAATACATCCCCTTTATTCTCATACGACTGCAGAGGATTCAGCACACACTGAAAACACTGGATGGCTTTTCATCAGTTTTAAAATGCACAGATTAAAAAGAAAAATGAAAAGCTTTTCTTCTTTCTGTTCCTTTCTCTAATAAATATGCCCATCATCAGAGGAAATTAAAAACAAGCTCACAGTCTTTCTTGGATACAGATTAGAGCACCCCCAATGCTGTTTAAGCAAGTTTGATTCTCTAAACTACCTTTTAAGACAAGAGCTTCAATCTTTTCTTCTGAGACAGATGTAAAGAGGCCAACAGTGTATTTTTGATACTACACAGTAACAAAGCTGAGGATTAAAACCAGCAATATACAGAGGCAAAGCCTGAATCAGGCAGCTCTTAGAACAGAACTCTGGTGCTAATATGGCATTGAAACCAGGGTGCTCCCCCCTGCTTCTTGGGAAGGCCAGATGGAATGGGCACATCAATCCTCTGCCCTTCTTCATGGTTTGTTGGCTTCTTCAGAACTGGTTTGGGGATGACTGTGCAGCACTGAACTGCAGTCAGTTTAATTTGTGTTCCAGATTCTCAAACACTTTCTCACTGTGCTCTAAGATCCAAGTTCCCTCATCTTTAAAGCAATTTTTTAATAAGCATTACCCTACTTGGCAAGATACCACCAAAGACTGCTAAGGAATTTTGATGTAGTTCTTCAAAAAGATAATCTACTGTATCATTAATTGTGGCTAGATGGTTAAGGAATAATACAGTCCTTGCCATGCACCTCAGAAGTAATGGGTGGAAAGTTTGGGAGATAAGTTTTATCTATAGATTCCCCTCTGATCTCCAGCACAGGAGACCAGCCTGCAGTACTCTGGAGCTCCACAGATTTCTGCCCTCCTGAATGATCATTCTAAACCTGCCTGCATAAAGAGGAGCTCTGAAGTTGGTTTACACTTCAACTGAGAGGTGACTTCCTTCCTTCCAAGAACTCTGAGCCAAGTGAAGTGCTGGATCCAAAAGAACACTGTATGTAGAGTTCTCAGTTTCTGCAGCCTTCTAAAACTCCATTCATTATGCATTCAATTATTTATTTAAGGGCTGAAGCCCTTCTTCAACAGAACAGAAAGGTCCATGAAAGATCTAGAGAGATCCACCTACCTGTGAACACTGGGCTAAATGCAGAAATGTCTACAACTTTAGCTACTAAAGTCTACAAAAGTGGAATAGGAATAAAACAGGAATAAAATAAATAGGAATAAAACAAAACAGGACTAAAATAAAGTAGGAATAATTTTTTTCTGATAACCCTAGATCTTATTACAACTGTTGTCCATCTGTCATCTCTTATGATGATCTAGGTGTCCTGGTTTGGACTTCTAGCATACTATCACACTAACTTCTCCTTTGCTTTTTTTCTTATGACATTAAATATCATGTAGGGGTAAATAAATAAATTTTTATATCTTTCTAGAACTACTGTTGCTTATACATTTGTTTTCACATGTATTCTAGCTACAGTGTTCTAGGTAGCATAATAAATGTGGGGAATTTGTTAAGTACTCTAGTATCCTGAAGGGAATTGTACAGCTTACACAAATTCTTACACTCAGCCCTCTGTTTCTTCTGATTCTCATCATATCTCTGTCCCCCAGAACCTCTTCTTGATTAATTTTCCAAATTATCTTCTTCATTAGCTTTGTAAGTTTAAAGACAAACACCAGATCTATCTTCTTGTTGCTTTCTGTGGGGTTAAGTCAGCTCTTTCAAGTTACACAGCTCTAATTTTGTTTGACTAAATATGTATTTACTTCTTTTCAGGTGCTGTTAGCAAAGGCATTTGGAATGTGTGTTTCACAAAATTCAAAGGGACAGGGAGATAATCAGGAAGACAAAAAAAAATCCTGTGGGTTTTAGAGGTTTCTGTCATATGGGATTTGATTGTTTCTTTTTATCTATGTAATTTAATTGTTCAGAGTATTATACCTCAAAGCTGTTTTGTGAATCTTTAAGAATGAAAAAAA